GATGATGCATGGAGGGGATTGTAACCATGACAAGGAAACGATATATGATGGGACTAATGCAAAGCTAATGTTCTCCCATTGAACTATCACATAACCCACAATAAAACATATATATGTATATAAAGAACATATAAGAAGAAAGCAAAATTTCATTAAGACAGGAAAGAAGGAAAAAACCAAAATGGATATCAGAAAAGACTCTGAAACCTGCTTTCTAGTGTAGAGATGCTAAAGCAAATGGAAGAAATGAAGAAATGAAGAGGTAAAAGAGCTGAACAGAAAATTTCAAAGATCAGCTTGAAAAGACAGAGTCAAAAATTATAATGAAATGTACAAAGACCTGGAGTTAGAAAATCAAAAGGAAGACCATGCTCAGCATTTCTCAAGCTGAGGGAATGGATGAAAAAATTCAAACCTCAACTTGTGTTATTGAAGGATTCTACAGGCAAAATATTGAAGGATGCAGAAAGCATCAAAAGAATATGGAATGTATACACAGAGTCACTTGCCTAAAATAAATGGTTGATGTTCAACCATTTCAACAGGTAGCATATGATCAAAAGCCAGTGTTCCTGAAGGAAGAAGTCCAAGGTGCATTGAAGGCACTGACAGAGAAGAAAGCTGCGGGAATAGATAGAATACAAATTGATACCTTTCAATAAACTGATGCAGCACTCGAGGCACTCACTCATCTATGCCAAGAAATTTGGAAGACAGTTCACCTGACAACCCAATTGGAGGAGATCTGTGTTTATGTCAGATATGTGTCAAAGAACTTTGAAGTGGCTCAACCGAATGTCAAAATCATCAAACAATATCATTAGTACCACTTGCAAGTAAAATTTTGCTAAAAATATTCAAAAACAGTTGCAGCAGTACATTGTCAACAGGGAGTTACTCGAAATTCGAGCTAGATTAGAAGAGGACATGGAATGAGGAACATCATTGCTAACATCAGATGGATCTTGGCTGAAAACCGGAAGTGTCAGAAAGATGTTTGATTGTGGTTTATTGACTATGCAAAGACATTCGACTGTGTGGATCACAACACACAGTCCTTCAAAGACTGTCATAGCACATAGTATCTCAAAGAATGTAAATTCGGGAACACTTAATTGTACTCATGTGGAACCTGTACATGGACTAAGAGGTGGTTGTTGAAATAGAACAAGGGGATCCTGAGTGGTTTACAGTCAGGAAAGATGTGCATGAGGGTTGCAGCCTTTCACCATACTTATTCAGTCTGTATGCTGAGTAAAGGAGTCCTGGTGTGGTACTGTGAGAAAAAGCATTGGACTGTAAGGTCAGTTTGAACCCAAGATCGGTGGATACAGGCACTTTGAGTCAGAATTGACTCAATGGCACTTAACAACAATAACATGCTGAGCAAACAATTTGAGAAACTGGATTACATGAAGAAGATGATGACCTCAGGATTGGAGGAAGACTCATTTAACAACCTAAGGCATCCAAGTGACACAATCTTGTTTTCTGAAAGTGATGAGGACTTGAAATACTGGTGAAGATCAAAGACTATATTTTTCAATATGTTGTTGTTGTTTTGTGCCATGGAGTCGGTTCTGACTCATAGTGACCCTGTACAGGGTTTCCGAGGCTGTAAATCTTTACGGGAGCAGAAAGCCTCATCTTTCTCCTGCGGAACAGCTGGTAGTTTCGAACTGCTGTCCCTGAGGTTCGCAGCCCAATTCGCAACCACTACGCTACCAGAGCTCCTTATATTTTTCAATATGGATAGCACTTAATGTAAAGAAACCTCACAACCTGACTAACAAATAATGTTATGGTAAACTAAATAAAGACTGAAGTAAATAAAAAATGTTAAAAACTTCATTTTGCTTGGATACACAATTAAATGATCATGGAAGCAGCAGTCAAGAATAACAAAGAAAGAAAGAAAACAGGACATTGCATTAGGCAAATTTGCTGACCATGGTATTTTTCAATCGCCCATATGCATGTTAAACTTGGACAATGAATCAGGAAGATAGTAGAAGAATCGGTGCATTTGAATTATGGTGTTGATAAAGAATATGGAAAGTACCAGGAACAGCCAGAAGAATGAACAAATCTGTGTTGGAAGAAGTACAGCCAGACTCCTCTTTAGAAGCCAGGATGGAGAGACTTGGTCTCCTGTATTTTGGACATGTTGACAGGAGAGACCAGTCCCTGGAGAAGAACATCATGTTTGGTAAAGTGGAGAGTCAGCAAAAAAAGAGGAAGTCCCCCAATGAGATAGATTGGCACAGTGGCATCTGCAATGGGTTCAGACGCAACAATTGTGAGGATTGTGTAGGACCAGGCAGTGTTTTGTTCTGATGTGCATAGGTTGGCTATGAGCTGAAATGTACTTGGAAACACCTAACAATAGTAACAACAAGTCTGTGCCTGGTTGTTGTGTGCCATCACGTTGGTTCTGACTCATGCTAACCTATGCACCATGGAACAAAACAATGTCCTGTTTCGAATGGCCAATGAAACACAGGTAAACATCATTCCCATAGTCTATGCTTTCAGTCAAGATCTATCTGCTATCAGCAATGACATCACTTGTTCTACATCCTCTCTTGAATCTGGCTTGAACCTCTGGCAGCTCCCTGTCAATGTACTACTCTAATTGTTTTTAAATCTTTAGAAAATTTTTACTTATATTTTTGTGTAATTTTAATGATATTGCAGTCATTTCTTCCTTCTGTTAGATCACTTTGTGAAATTCTGAATATGTTCTTCCTTTTTGTCTTTCTAATCCCAGTTCTTTGCACATGTCACATGATTTGAATATGTTATCAGAAGGGACAAATCTCTGGAGAAAGACATCATGCTTGGAAAAGTAGAGGGTCAATGAAAGAGGAAGCTTCTCAATGAATTGGATGAGCATGTGGCTGCAACAATGGCTTCAAGCATGCCAATGATTGTGAGATAATGTGAACCAAGCCGTGCTTTGTTCTTTTGTATGTAATGTCTCTATGAGTTGGAACTAACTCAACCCACCTGAAAACAACAAGGCCACAGAACTAATCAATGGAAAGGTAGCATTCAAAACCAGGTGTTCTGGTCTCCATTCTTCTAATTCCTCAGTTCTTCAGCCCCTCCCATATGGCCTGAATTGAAGCATCTGACCCAAGGGTCAGAAATTGGAATGAGGATGTACTTTGTCCATTGTTATGGATTGAATTTTGTGCCTCCCCCACCCCCACAAAATATATGTCAAAGTCTTAAACTGTTAATGTGATCTTATTTGACAATGTTGTTGTTAAGTGACATTGAGTTGGTTCCAACTCATAGCTATCTTGTATAGTGTTTCCAAGGAGCGACTGGTGAGTTTGAACTGCCGACCTTGTGGTTCAAACTCATTTGCGATCCATTGTAATAGACTCATTGAAGATGTGGTCAGTTAACAGGAGATCATAGTGGAGTAAGGTGGGTCCAGATACCAATCTGAATGGTATCCTATAGAAGAGAAGAGACAGACAGAGGAAGAATGACTATATAAAGATACATCTACAAAGCAAGGAATGTGCTGGTTAGACAAGAAGGGGATCTTTCCCTAGAGATTTCAGAGGGATCATGGCTTGGCAACACATTGATTTGGAATACTAGCTTCCAAAACTATGAGACAATGCATTTCTTTTCTATAAGCCAACCAGTAGTCCTGGTGTGGCACTGTGGGCTAATGCACTGTACTGCAAAGTTGGGTTGAACCACAAGGTCAGTGGTTCAAGTTCACCAGCTGCACCTTGGAAACCCTATACAGGGTCACTGTGGGTCAGAACCGAGTGGATGGCACTTAACAACTACAAAAATATAAGCCACCCAATTTGTGGAATTTTGTTACTGTATCTCTAAGAAACTCAGACACCCACGCTAACCAGGCTATGAGGCATTGGTGCTTCACTGGTGAAATTCTCACTTTCCACATTGGAGACCCTGGTTTGATTCCCAGCCAGTATACTGAGACACAGCCACCACTAACTGTTCCTCAGTAGAGGCTTGTGTGTGGCTATAATGCTGAACAAGTTTCAGCTGAGTTTCTAGACTAAGATGCGCTAGAAAGAAAAGCTTGATAACCTACCTCAATAACCAGACAAGAAAAACCCTACGGATCACAATGGTGTGATCCACAAGCGATCGTTTGGATAGTACAGGTCTAAGGAGCATCTCATTCTATTTTAAATGGGGTCATCATGAGTTGGGAGCTGACTCGGTGGCAACTATCACCTATAACCTGGTGAAGGAGGTGGATTGTGTTTTTTAATTTACAATTGCAAGATCTGGCCATAGCGGTCTGTGTAACTCATGTTTGGCCCCTCTTTGATGCCACTTGAGCTTGACCTCTGCTCCTGTTGAACTTTTGGTCAGCATATCTCCCAAGCTTCCCTCCAACCAGCAGGGTGCATTTCCCTTGTCCCTGCATTCCTGGGTCTTTTAGCTCCAATAGGAAGCCAAGCCAGGTCACTGAGTCAGAAACAGGTGGAAGGAGGTCATATGGAAGGATGTAACGCAAATAAGCAGGCCAGGTCCTCTCTGCACAAGTTCCTGAGCTGGTTCTCCAGGCAGCAGCATCTCCTGGCCTCAAAGCATGTGTGCCCTGTTGCTGGCGCCACTCCTGGCTCTGCCTGCGTTTCTCCTGGGGGTTCTGGTGTGGGTCATCTTGGAGCACTTCCTCACCACCGATGTCCCCCCTGTTCTGCAGCATCGACTCAAGTTCAGATTTCTGCACTGTATGTTCCTATATGTGGTCACGCTGGTGAGTTGGCATCCAGGCCCTGTCCTGTGCTGCGGGTTCTCTTCCTCTTTCTCTGCACCTTAAAAAAAATAGTAGCTGCTTATGATGGCCCTGTGTGTGTGAGAGTGGAACTGTACATCACAGGGCTTTCAGCGACTGAGCTTTCAGCAGCCAATCACTAAGGCTTTCTTCTGAGGTGACTTGGTTAGTAGCTTTGTGATCTTAGGCAATTTACGTAACCTCTGTTTCATAGTTGAACTCTGTGAAATTGGGACAATAGGACCTATGTCATTGGGTTTGTAAGCGATGAATTGGTACATGCATAATAAGGGTTAACACAGTTGCTGAGTCAGTTCTCAACTCATGGTGACCCCACATACCCGAAATGCTAAGAACAAAATGCTGCCCAATACTGGCTCATACCTGTGATCCAACCATTGTGCTCTAAAGAGCTTTCATGGGCTGATTTTGGGAAGTATTGCCAGACTTTTCATCCTAGTCTCTCTTAGTCTAGAAACTTACATTTTTGTAAATAACTGAAGTATGTTTCCGTGCTGCTGTAATGTTTCTCTATGGCGTTGGTTTTAGAGTAGTGAGCAACTCTAGTTTATAAATACATCAATATGACAGATGAAGGAGGCATCCTGAGGGTGTGTTCTTCTGGGCTCTCTCACTATGCTACTCATGTGTCCACCTAGAGTTTAGGTTGTCTCAAACCAGAGACTCCAGTCCAGATGGAATACAAGTCACCCTGGGGCCCAGGATCTAAAATCAGAGGGCCACGATGTTCAGGTGACCTAGGAAAGCAGAAGGTGTTTCAGTGTTAGTTCCTCCTTTAGCCCACAAGCTAAGCAGCTCCTGATGACAGTTGCGTCAAGCTTATTGCAGTAGACAAAAGATGGTGTGTGTTGGCTCTAACCAGCTTGTTCCACTCCATCCTGGTCTCTCCAACACTAAGCCCCCGCAGGACACACTGCCCATCTTGAAATGATGATGAGGAAGACAAGGATATTTACCTGGTTAATGTCCAGTTTAGGAGCTCTGGTGTCATGGTGGGTTAAGCACTGGACTGCTAACTGTGAGGTTATTGTTTCAAACCCACCAGCCACTCTAAGGAAAAAAGATGAAGCAGTCTGCTCCCATCAAGATTTACACAGGGAGCTATGAAATAGAGTCAACATGAAGACAGTAGGTAGAATGCTCAGTTGGTCCTAGAAGAAAGACAGACATGGGAAGGACGAGAAGTTGAAACAGGTTGAATACCAACACAAAAAACCAAACCTGGTTGCCATCAAGTAGTCTGAGCTCCAAAGCTTGCAGTTTAGCTTTGTGGCTCTCTGTTTTTGACCTTTGTCTCCTCCTGTGAGGCAGGAAGATAGCAAGAGATGCATTTCATAAGGGTGATGCAAGGACGAAATGAGAAACAAATGTACATGCTGGGCACTTCGAAAGGGCTCTTACAGGAGGCAGAAAAACCAGTTGCTGTCAAGTCCATGCTGAATCTTGGTAACCTGTGTGTACCAGAGTAGAAAGCACTGTGTTCCACAGTGTTTCCAACGTTTGCTTTTTTTAGAAATAGATCATTGGGTTTTTCTTCTGGCTCGCCTCTGGGTGAACTGAAACTTCCATCCTTTTAGGGAGCAGTCAACTGAGTTAACCTTTGCATCACCCAGGGACACTATTATAATTAATGTCATTCATATGCTTATCAAATCTCTCAAGGCAAAGCTATACTGTTGTTGTTAGGTACCAACAAGTCAGGTACGGACTCATAGCGACCCTATGCACAACAGAACGAAACACTGCCCGATCCTGGGTCAACCTCACAGTTGTTGCCACACTTGAGCCCATTGATGCTGCCACTTTACCAATCCATCTCGTTGGGACTAGTTCCTGATTTTATTAGATTTAAAATTTCTATGGATGATTTTAACCTTATTAAGATACAAAGAATAATACACTTAATCCTCACTCACCAACTGCCTCATTATCCGACATTTCGCATTAACTACAATAGTAAAAAAAAATCTACTCTCAGATTATTTGTGCATTAATACTGTGCGTCTGGCAGTAACAAATATGAAAATTTGAGGTGAGGTTAACACTGGTTATGATGGTGAAGGCTATGTGCCAGCCTGGCTGTACAATGATTCTCAGTGGTGTGTCAGTTCTGCAATGATGTGGTCATCCTCCAGGTTTGCACGACACACACCTAGTTTTGCATATTTGACTTGATCTTTGGAATCTAATCATGTTGATGAGTGAGGAGTAAGCATATAACAAACACTGCTGATTTTACCAACAGAGCTCTGGTAGCGTAGTGGTTATGAATCAGGCTGCTAACCTCAAGGTCAGCAGTTCGAAACTACCAGATGTTCCATGGGAGAAAGATGAGGCTTTCTGTTCCTGTAAAGATTTATAGCCTCAGAAACCCTGTACAGGGTCACTATGAATCGGAACCAACTCCACAGTACTTAACAAAACAACAACTGATTTTATCAAGTGAAATTCAAATTGTTGTTAATTGTTGTCGAGTCAGTTCCAACTCATAGCTGCTCTGTAGAGAGTTTCCAAGGAGTGACTGGTGGGTTTGAACCACCCACCTTGTGGTTCAAACCAACCTTGTGGTTCAGTGCTGTATCCCACAGTGCCACAAGCCATTTAAAAATGAATATTTTGGAGGCATTTTGTGCATTCACAGTGTTGTGTAACCACCACCTTTATCTAGTTCCAAAACATCTTCAGCACCACAAAAAAGAAATTACTTGCTGGCTAAGCAGAGCCCTGATGTGGCATTGTAGACCAATCACTGGGCTGCTAACCTCAAGGTTGGCAGTTCAAAACCACCAACCATTCCTTGGAAACCCTATACAGGGTCGCTATGAATTGAACTGACTTGACGACTTTCACAACAACAACACTGGTTAAACAGTCATTTCCCATTCTCCCCTCCCCTTTGGTAACTGCCCTTGGTAACCACCTATCTGCTTTCTGGATATCACATATGAATCATACAATGTGTAACCTTTTGTGTCTGGCTTCTTTCACCTAGCATAATGTTTTCAAGGTTCATCTACATTGTAGCATATGCCAGTATTTTATTTAAAAAAAAAAAAATATA